TTGATAGCTCCCTTATGTTGATCAGGAAGGTCTTTTATAACTCTTGTTATAAACTGTTTGGGGGGGATTTTCTGAATCAATGCACGATCTCCTTCTTCTTCTTCTTGATCTTCTTCCTCCAAATGTTTAGCCTTTTTTTTGCTGTACAACAACAATTGTAGAAGACTGCTTTCTTTTCATCTCTTTTGGAGGTTGGAAGGGGACAATACTTCTCTCAGGAGTCCTAAACATTTAATTTAGGAACATTTAATATATAAGTTAGGAACAATAGGCATATAAATATGAACATTACGTGTATGTGTTATGAACAATGAGCATTTAAGTTAGGAACATTACGTATATAAGTTAGGAACAATATGCATATTAGTTTAGAACATTACGTATATAAGTTAGGAACAATATGCATATTAGTTAGGAACACTATTTTTTCTGAATTTGTGCATATAAAATAGGAACAACAAGCGTATTAGCTTGAAACATTACTTACTCGTTGTGAATTTGTTTATTTGAAAGTGGTGGCACTGTTATCTGTCCTGCCTCTTTTTCAATCCTTTTCCTGTATAAAAAAAACACGATTTTATACAACAAACTGAAATTCAAATCAATAATCTCGGGCTGCCAGAGGTGGTAAAGGGGTTGCCGGAGGTGGTGTGGAGGTGGTTCAAGGGTTTATTTAATTAATTAAGGTTTAGAAGTTACTAATTACAATATGGACGAATAATGATGCATTAAGAGACTAAGTAAGCTGATTAGCGAAAACAGTAGTAATTGTTAGAATTAATCAAATTTAGGGGCAGTAATTAACAACTTTTTTTAAGGGTACTAATTCACAAAGTCCCCCTTTTTGAGGTAGTAATTGCCAATCTCTTTTTTTTTTTTAAGGTGTTAAAAACCATTTTCAGTCTTTTTTGTGGTGTCAAAATACAAAATTTCCTAATATTTACTTATAATACTTTTTTAATATAGGAAAATGTGAAAGTGTTTGCGAGAATTTGATTCTTGGGAGATTATATACCTTCCCTGAGAAGGAAATTGCTTAGCCGATTCGGTCGCTAAAGCAACGTATAGAGTGAAAAAAAATGGAAATGAATTGTCCAAGGCCATTTTTTAATGTAACACTTTTAATGAATGATGAGAAAGAAAAATAAAGAAAGGAGTTCCAACCATTAGGTTGGAAGAACTCAATGCGATCAAAAGGAAAGGTAAATAGTTAGTTTGTTGAATTTTTTTTATTTTAATAATATTAATGTTAGTAACTAAAATTAATGATAATTAATAATTTAATTTTTTTTAATGTTTATTTATTGTAGGTGGGTTCCAAGGTATGAGGTGTCCAACATTCTTAGAAGAAGAAAAGTTAGAGCAAGAGATTTTGAGATGATAAAGTAACTCCCAAGGAAGGGTTTACTTAGTTTGCTGATTTTTAATTTCCTTTCTTAGTTTAGGCGTACAAAGTAAAATTGGAATAGATTTCGGCTGAGGTTATGGACTATGAGATCCAACATACATGGATACTTGGTGCAGAAAAGTTTCATAAGCGTTAAGTTGAACAAAATTAAAGCAATTACTTTGGCTTCATTTTCTCGCACAATTTTACTACTTGCTTAAACATACTTTTTGGTTTCAATGAAAAGCACTACCTATTTTCTTGTATGGTTTCAAATTTTAGATCGAGTACGAGTATCTTTTAAAAAGTTTCATGTGTTCAAGTACTTGATTATTTGGTGGTATAGTAACATGTTAAGCACTTAAATTTTCACCTCCACTAACGTGGAAATGATGTTGAAAAGAAATGATGAATTATTAAATTGTTGTCACGAAATTTGCAAACATGCAAAAAGTCTTAAACGATAAATTGATTAGAAATTATGAGCACCATAAATTTATTAAATTTTGACCTATTATTCAAGCTAAGCTCATTAAGATGGAGTCATTATTAGACAAGATGTTTGATCTTAGTATGTATTTTATTCATATGGAAGGATAAAAATAACTAGGAGCATCATATTTATGAATGTACATTCAAAGGGAATAGCCTTGTTCAATTGGCAAAGGTTAATGATTAAACAAAAATTGATAAATGAAAATTATAAATAATTCATCACAATAAATATGAACCAAGAAATTGCATGGAAGGCCTAGTAAGTGACTTTCTGCTTGATGGCCCCAAAAGATGGGATATTCCCCTTGTGAGGAAACATTTTGAATGGGAAAGCACTACGAAAATTTTAAGTATGGAGCTTTCGAATGACTAGAATGAGGATTTATTGTACTGGCCTTACCATAAATAAGGAAGATATGCGACTTAGACTGGGTATTCTTTTCTCCAAGGTTTGAAAGAACAGGAACAACTTCATATTACAGATCTGAATTTTTGGAAAATTTTGTGGCGGTTGAATACACCTCCTAAATGGAGCCTTTTCCTACGGAAGCAACTGTTAAATGGGCTAAAGGTTAAGGCTAACTTACATCATAGGTGTTTGGGTCCAATTCACTCTAATTGGGCCAGTCCACAAATGATTCAATTTTCAGCCCAAAGAAGGTTCAACCCTTTTTCAAGCATGCCAAGTTAGTCAGGCCCAGTTGACGTGGCAAGCCTATTTGACTTCAAGGCCCAATTTATCTATTTGAGCAAGGTATAAAAGCCTTTGCTTCACTCTCTCTCAATTCATTCACTTCAAGCCTCAAGCAGTTAATTCTCTTGCATATCTTTCTCTCTTTAGAAATACTGTACTAACTTCGGCATCGGAGGGGCCTTCCTCGGCATAACCCCTGAGGCCAGTTTACGCGTGTTTGATGTGCAGGAAACCCTCATCCCAGTCATCACTTGGGCCGAGTCCAGTCTTCAGCCCACAAGAGAGGTCCAGACGAAGTACCCATTGTTTTCACTCGAAACAATTTGGCACCGTCTGTGGGGAAGACATTCAAAAAACAAGCCAAAAACCCATCATCTTAGCAACATGACTAAGAGCGGAAAGAGCGCCAAAAAGAACGGCCCTTCTTCCTCGAAGAAAGGCCCAACATCCTCTAAGATAATTCCATCTTCTCTCTCGAAGAAGGGTCCACCTTCTTCCTCATCTTCGGAGGTTACCTTATCTGAGAAAGCCACGCCGGAGAGATCACCTCGCAACTCTGGTCAGTCGAGCCAATCAAATGCTAAGATTCCAACTCCTAGCCGTCATTCCCAATCTTGTCCAATGGGGACGCCTAAACGGGTCCCACAACGGAAGTGATTGCAAGAGCCCTCGCGGACCTCATGGACTTCATGAAGGCTCAAATAACCCAGCAGCTCCCACCTCCTGCTTCTATGGTGCACTCTGACACTTTCGAGCAGCCGAGAATCCTGAGAAGGAGAATCAGTTAAGGAGAGGGAGAATGAGTTCCATCCCACAGGGAACTCGAAGAAGATTGGGAGGAGGACACCTGGAGAACTGAACGGGAAAGGAAAAGAAACCCCTAGTTCTTCGAGGAGTCCGAACCCCGAATCTTTAAAAGCAGCAACACCGCTTCCACGTGGCTAGAGCCTGCTCGCCGAAACGTCCACGAACGTATCAGCCCGAGGGAGGGGAGCGTGCACAGTCGCCTCACCTACCCCAAAGGAACTGTAACTTACCCTACGCCGTCCCAGCCGAGGACGAAAACCACTTCTACCTCTTTGAGAGGGGGAAGAGAGGTCCATCGGCTAGGAGCAAGGGGAAAGTCGTGATGGTTCCCTCTAGTTCCCCATTCCAGAGTTGGATTCTGGAAGAGCGAGTGCCAACAGTGAAAATCCCGGCACATATCACATATGATGGTACTTCAGATCCGAAGGACTACATTGCCTCTTACGAGGGGCATATGTACCTGAACCCCAGGTCCGAAGCGACTTGGTGCAAATACTTCCCAACCACTCTAAAAGGTGTCGCATAATCGTGGATCAACAAAAGAGTGAAGGAAGGCTCGATAACCAATTGGAAAGACCTTTACAACAAGTTCAAGAGCAAGTTCTCTATGGCAAACCACAGAGAGAAAACAACTGCAGAGCTCATGACCATGCAACTAGGGGAGAACGAAAGCCTCCGAGACTACCTGACTCGCTTCAGCAATAAGTCGTCCAGAATTACAAGTCTGGACCAAGGGCTAGCCATTTTGGCGCTGCTACTGACCAATTCCTGGACTTCATGGTCATGTACACCCCGCAGACCCTGGAGGAATCCTTCGACGCTTCGGTTAAATACATCCGAGCCGAGGAATGGAATAAGACCGAGTCCCAATCTCAAACTGGGACTGGCAAGATAAAAGGACAACTGTCTGAATGCTAGAGCCAGAGGAAAGGGAATGCGAAAGCCTCAGAATCGTCCTCGGCAGCTGAGCCGAAGGAAGAAAAAACCCCATTCATAGGGAAATACAAATCATACACTCCTCTCGCTCTTCTATGTGCTAAAATCTATAGCATAAAGAGGAACGAAGAGAAGTGGAAAAAACCGATGCCACTTTCATCGTGGCATCAAAACAAAAATAAGGACTGATGGTGTGAGTTCCATGAGTCTCTTGGATATCACACCGAGGACTGTATCCAGCTGAGAGATCAGATCGAGGTTATGGTCCGAAAGGGGTATCTGAAAAAATATCTCTCGGATCGCCGCGAAGAGAAGAAAGCCGAGCAAGTCTCTCGGCAACAGCTAGATTTTAGCCGGAAGAGGGACAAGACGCAGGATAAGGAGAACCTTGACATCCTTCTCATCTCCAGGGGGACGAGCTCCTGCAATGCTTGAAAGCGCCACTTGAGGGGTCTGACCTATCAAGTCTGCCACGCCTCCGTCCGAGGTCTAGAGTCTCCGGTGCTGAACATCACGTTCACAGCCGAAGACTTCTGGGGTGGCATACCCCCATGATGACCTGCTAGTAATCATTACGGGATCCCAAACCACAACGTTTGACGAACCCTCGTCGACGATGGTAGCGGGGCAAACATCCTCTTTCGGGATGCTTTTGACCAGCTGAAGCTGTAAACCAAAGACATGGGTCCGGCACCCTACCTGGTGTCTAGATTCAATGGGTCTGCAACATATCTAGATGGGAAGATCACCCTTCCTGTCACCATCGGTAGAGACCGAGCAGCTCAGAACGTGATGGCCGAATTTTTGGTCATGGACGTTCCATCTGTCTACAATGTGATCATGGGGAGACCCATGATTCATCAGATCCAAGGAGTGGTCTCATTGTATCATCAAATGATGATATATGTGTCTGACGAAAACCACTCCGAAAGAATTCAAGGGAGCCAAGAGGTTGTCCGGAAGTGTAACTACCTCAAGCCATCCAAAGTTCGTCGTGATGACAAGGATGATGAGGAAAAAGAAAAAAAGCAAGACCGAAGCACCAAGAAGCAGAAAGACTTAAGTGCTTCGGCCCATGGGACACCTACCTAAGAAAAATCAAAGGGGAAAGGAAAGGTTGGCTCCTCATCCGAAGCAAAAGATTCAGAAAGCCAGCCGAATTTTCGTACGCCTGCTGACATTGACAGTAGGCCCGATTGTGAAGAGTCCGGTTCCAAAGCAATGGAGCTGGACAAGAAGACTAAATCAATTGATTTGACCAAAGGAGACTAAGAAAAATGTGCCAGCATCGGGCTCGGACTTGATCCGAACATCCGAGTTGAACTTATCTAGATCCTTCGGGATAACCGGAGATGTGTTCGCTTTCTCAGCCGCAGACATGCCTGGGATAAACCCGAACCTCATCTTTCACAAGCTGAACGTCGACCCCACCTATCGACCCATTAAGCAAAAGAAGCGGAATTATTCCGCTAACAAGAACCGAGACATTGCAGCCGAGGTCAAAAAACTTTTGGATGCAGGCTTCATCAAACCCTACATGTATCCGAAATGGCTGGCAAATGTTGTAATGGTTTAAAAGGAAAATGGCACCTGGAGAATGTGCTTTGACTTTACGAACTTAAATAGGGCTTGTCTAAAGGACTTCTATCCCTTGTCGAGGATCGATCAGCTAGTCAACTCGACAAGTGGCGATGCTCTACTTAGTTTCATGGATGCATTCTCGTGGTATCATCAGATCTTCATGCACCCCGACTACCGAGCAAAAATGGCATTCGTTAAGAATGCCGGGGTGTACAACTACCAAATGATGCCCTTCGGATTGAAAAATGTCGGGGCAACATATCAAGGGCTGGTTGATCAGGTCTTCGCCGAGCAAAAAGGCCGTAACATGGAAGTCTATGTTGACGATTCCATTGTGAAGAGCAAAGAGGGCAAAGACCATGTTACGGACCTGGCCGAGACCTTCGCTACCCTAAGGAAACATCAAATGAAGCTGAATCCGAAGAAGTGTGTCTTAGGCGTGAAGTCAGGCAAGTTCCTAGGCTTCATGGTCAGCAAAAGGGGAATTGATGCCAATCCCGCTAAATTTCAAGCAGCGCTCGATCTTCCTGAGCTGAAAACAAAGAGGGATCTTCAGCGTCTCACCGGGAGAATGACATCCCTATCCAGATTCATCTCTAGAGCTTCGGACAAAGAACTACCCTTCTTCAAAGCCCTGAAACTCCCAAAAACAAAAGAGCTCATTTGGGAAAATGAGCAAAAGGAGCTTCAAGCAGCTCCACGAGCACTTGGCTCAACTACCAACGCTGGCACGCCCGGCCGAAGGTGAAACCTTATACTTATATGTGCCAGTTAGACCTGCCACTATATGCGCGGTTCTGCTGAAGGAAGAAGATAAGATCCAGAAGCTGATCTACTTCGTCAGCCACACTCTAATGGATGACGAGACTCGCTACCCCCTACTCGAAAAAGTTGCATATGATAGTGGTCTTAACTGATCAGCCACTGGAAAAAGTTCTCGGCAAAGTTGAAAAATCTGGTAGGCTGGCAAAGTGGGCCTTCGAGCTCACCGAGTTCAGCATCAGCTATCAACCGAGAACAACCATCAAGGCACAAGCTCTGGTGGACTTCCTGGCCGAATGCTCATACCAGGAAACGCTAGACAAAGAAAAGAAGACCTAGACCGTTTAGACGGATGGATCCTCCACCATAAATGGTTCGGGGGCGGGGGTAGTACCTACCTCACCTGAAGGCAAACATTTTGAGTATGTGCTCAAATTTGCATTCCGAGCTTCGATTCAAACAATGAAGCAGAATATGAGGGAGCAATTGCTGGCCTAAAGCTGTGCATATCATTGGAAGCCGAGCATGTCTGTTTAAAAACAGACTCTCAGCTTGTGCAAATCAGATTTGAGGCGAGTATGAGGCAAAAGAGCCCTCAATGATTTCTTACCTCGCAAAAATCATAACGATAATTGTGAAGCTGAGAACTTTTGAAGTCGAGCTAATCCCAAGGGGTCAGAACGCACAAGCCGATGCACTCTCCAAACTTGCAAGTTCGACTCTGACTGAGCTGGACCGTTCTGTTTATGTGGAGGTGCAACAAGAGAGGATTGTTGACGAAGCACTTGAAATCTGTTGCGTCACACTGGAGCCGAGCTGGATGGACCCCATCCTAGCTTACAAACTTCGGGGAGAAATTCCCGAAGATAGAAACCTAGCCTCCAAGCTAAAGAGAATCAACTCAAGATTCATCGTCTTCAGAGGAGAGCTACTAAAAAAATCCTTCTCAGCCCCACTGCTGAAATGTGTTGATGAAAAGACCAAACTTTAGGTGGAATGAGTTTAAGGAAGCCTTGAGGGAGAAGTTTTACCCTTCCTACCTGAGAAAGCAGAAATACATGGAGTTTACCAACCTGAGAATGGGGAACATTTCTATCAATGAATACTACAATAAGTTCATTGAGTTGATGAGGTTTGCCCCGGAAGTATTCCCTACTGAAACCATTAAAGCTCAGAGATTTGAGCAAGGCCTAACCTTAACCCTCCAAGGGAAGCTAGGGGGAGTTACCTTTGAAACCTTAAATGAAGTCTATGGCCGTGCAGCCCACCTGTACGGGATCAAGGGGAGGGAAATGGAGCATGTTGGAGAGAAAAGGAAGAACCCGAACTCTTTTCACGGGGGTGAAAAGAGGCATAAGCCCAATGGTAACTACTAAGGGAATTTTGGTGATAGGAGGGACAACAAAGGGAATTTTGGGAAAGGGAATGGAAGCAAGTTGTCCAATTCTAGGGGGAATGGGAACCAAAGGAGTGAGAAGCCTCAGAGAAAGTATTTTTGCAAGCGGTGTGAGAAAGATCACCCAAGGAAGGATTGTGAGGGGAAATCGGTAACTCGTTACTGCCAGAAGTTGGGAAGCCGAGAATATGAGTGTTACAAGAAAGAGGCTGACGTTAAGTCAGGGAAGGTGAAAGAGTCTAGTGTTCCTAATAAACCACCTCAGTCTAGTGGACCTACACCCAAGGTTGGAACGAGTAGCGTTGCGGGAGGTGCCCCAAAGGGTCGTGTGTTCGTGATGAATAGCCATGAGGCTGAAACTGCTAATGATGTGGTAATTGGTGTTTTCCTTATAAGTTCTTTTCCTGTGAAATTTTTATTTGATTCGGGGGCGTCCCATTCTTTTATTTCTTAGAAAGTAATTGGAAGTCTCGGGTTAGAAAGTCCTGAGTCAGTTTCTCTAGATGTGTCTATTCTGTCTGGGGGAGTGAGGAGTTGTTCCAAGTTGTTTAAGAGTGTACCTATTTCCATTTCTAGGATAGAATTTCTGTCGGATTTGATCGAGTTCAATTTGAAGGACTTCGATGTAATTCTGGGTATGGATTGGTTGGGAAGGTATGAAGCAAGGATTGATTGTGCAGCTGAAAAGGTTACTCTGACTAGCCCAAGTAAGGTCAGAGTGGTGTATAAGAAGGAAGGGAAAAGTTCAGGGTTGAGAATTATTTCTGTGATGCAACTACAGAAGCTAGTTAAGAAGGGTTGTCCTCTGTTTTTATGTAGTGTTCAAGAAATTAAAAGTGAGGAAAAGAAGGGTGATGGAAGTATTCCAATTGTACTTCCAGATGAGATTTCTGGTATGCCACCAGTGAGGGATGTGGAATTCACCATCGACCTAGTGCCTGGTACTAGACCTATTTTTAAAGCTCCATATAGGATGGCTCCAGCTGAGATGAAAGAGTTGAAGACCCAGTTGGATGATTTGTTGGAAAAGGGTTACCTTCGACCTAGTTCCTCACCATGGGGAGCTCCAATGTTGTTTGTAAAAAAAAAGGACGGAAGTATGAGGTTGTGTATTGACTATCGAGAGTTGAATTAGGTGACAGTGAATAATAAGTATCCATTACCAACGATTAATGATTTGTTTGACCAATTGAAAGGGGATGGAGTGTTTTCAAAGATAGACTCGAGATCAAGTTATCACCAGTTGAGAATTGCGAAACAAGATATTGCAAAGAGTGCTTTCAAGACCCGTTATGGTCATTATGAGTTCACATTCATGCCGTTTGGATTGACCAATGCACAAGTAGTGTTCATGGATTTGATGCATAGGATTTCCAGGCCATACTTGGACAAGTTTGTAGTTGTGTTTATTGATGATATCTTGATTTATTCAAAGGATGAAGAGGAGCATAAGGAGCATTTGAGACAAGTGTTTTCATGTTTGAGAAAGCACCAGTTATATGTTAAGTTATCAAAGTGTGAATTTTGGTTGGAAAAAGTAGCATTTTTGGGCTATGTGATTTCCAAGGAAGGAGTCTCAGTGGACCAAGCAAGATTCGAGCTGTCAGTGATTAGCCAACCCCAAAGAATGTGTCGGATGTAAGAAGTTTCTTGGGTTTGGCAGGCTATTACAGAAGGTTTGTGAAAGATTTTTCAAGGATTGTGAAGCCCATGACAAGTTTGATAAAAAGGAGCATAAGTTCTCATGGACTCAAGAGTGTGAAGAGGCATTCAAGACCTTAAAAGAAAGGTTAACCACAGCACCTGCGCTGGCTTTGCCAGATGGAAGTGACCTATATGAAGTGTATAGTGATTCATCGAGGTTTCGACTGGGATGTGTTTTGATGCAAAGTCGAAGGGTGATTGCATATGCTTTAAGGCAATTGAAACCGCACGAAGGGAATTATCCAACCCATGATTTGGAGTTAGCTTCAATAGTGTTTGCTTTGAAGATTTGGAGGCATTATTTGTATGGGGTGACTTGTAGGGTTTTCACGGATCACAAGAGTTTGAAGTACATTTTCACCCAAAAGCATTTATATGGGAGGCAGAGAAGATGGTTGGAACTTTTAAGTGATTATACGTTGGATATTCAATATCATGAAGGAAAAGCCAATGTGGTGGAAGATGCGTTAAGCCGGAAGTCAGAACATTCGATGAATATGATGGTAGTGCCAGACCAGTTGTGTGTGGAATTTCAGAAGTTGAATTTGGAAGTGATGGAACATGGAGAAGTGTCTAGGATGTTGAATGCTTTCGTGATTTAACCATCCATTTATGATGAGATAAGGGAGAGTCAACTGGAAGATGAGAA